AAAAAAAAAAAAAAAAAAATCAATGAAGTGATGTCGCTTGGAAATCTGCACTTCGAAGCAAAACAGTTCATCACACTACAATGCAGGCAGTCCAAAGAACCACAACCATTCAAAACCAATAGCGACCGGTCCCTGTCTTCCACAACCCCTCTAGAGCTCACATGGCATGGGCCGTCCAAACAAAAAAAGAGATGAGCCTCGGTTACAGAGCCTGCAACTGATGTCCAGCCGAGCAGACTGGAAACTGCACGTTCAAATAAATATGGGATAATTTGGAAATACCCCCGTAAGTTAAAGGTATATGTCGAAATGCCCCTGAAAGCTGCGTGTAGAGCGGAATGCCCTTTTGCCGAAATGTGTGTTATTCCCCTGTCAAGGCGGTGTGCAAACTTGCAATCTGGACCTCGCCGTTTGGTCCTTGGCCTTTTGCAACCGGGCCTTGGAAAAGTTGGCAAGTACGGGGGTATTTTGCAAAGTTGGATGGTACCCGGTAGGGGTATAGAGCAAGCGTCGGGGTTCCAACCGACACCAGGGGTATTTCAAAATTTTTGTTTTTGTCAGGGAGGCATTCCCCTCTTCCCAAATCTTTCAGGGGCATTTTCGCATTTATGTCAACTTATGGGGGTATTTCGCAAATTTCTAATAAAAATCCTTAATAATTCCTGAAAAGTTGGGCAAACAAACTGGCATAGTTCAGTTGGTACACCCCTGAACTGTTGAAATCCAGACCGGTCAGTTCGGGTTCGAACTCCACTGGAAGCAGATGTGTAGAATACTGCAATTCTTTTTTTTTTATTATTATTATTTTTTTAACTATACTCTTCTCTCAATCTTTCCTCACACTACCTAAATACCACTACTCCTACCTATAGGCATACGGGGAAACCCGTAGCATACCAGAGCCGTGTTTTTTTTACGGCCCCTCGAGCCTGCAGGATACCGCCCAGGGGACGGCCGGTAGCACCAGGGATAAAGCGGACGAATCCCCCGTGCCTCCCCTCAGGCTCCTCCCCTACGAACATAGCAGACTCTGCTTGATGCCGGTCGGGGAATCCAGTGGTCTATCTCTTGGGTAGCGGGTGCCAAGTAAGCCCAGGAACGCATGAGCACAGTGGGGATTGAACCCATGACCTCCTGAATGCCACTTGCGAGCCTTACCAACTGCGCTAGGCCTCTGGATACTGCAATTCTGAATACCTCAAGGCCGTCATCCACTTTTGAAGAGATGGGACGCTGGACCCGGTTTCCAGCCTACCGGTAGGCGAAGGGGGGTGAATGGCGCCCACCGGTAGGCGAAGGTGGGTGAATGGCGCCTACCGGTAGTGTGGGATACAAATCGACAATTTTCCGGAACAAGGAAAAGAAAGAAACAAGGAACTTTTTCAATCCTATCCTCCTTTCTGATGCCAGCAAGGGGCCTGCGGTACTGCCACAGAGTGGCTTTGGGCAATGCCGTACGTGACCAGATTCACGGCCACGTACGGAACTCTCCTAGGATGACAAGCGGATTCCGACGTGTGAGAGATCCTCTGGCGTACGCTAAGTGGCAGGGACGCGGTGGGTGCAACTCGATTGCTTTCATCTGTGTGTGTGTGTGGCCAAGCCAGGCACAATGGAACGTTCATCATCAATGGTCTGCTCGCTCGATTTTTGAAAGTCTCGCCGCCCTAACTGGGATCAGAAAGGACTGCTTCGGTGCCCGCTGCTGTATCAGGGCTAAGTAATCATTCCTGTGTGGACGAAGAGAGGGATCGATGGCGACGGAGAAACCGTCGCCATCGGAGTTGAAAGGGATAGCGGTATGCTGTTGATCCCGAGCGGGATTATGGTCTTCGTTACCCGCGGCCATCCATAGTGCCCATGCATGGTAATGACCATCGCCAAAGTCGTCGGCGCGCCTTTGCAATCATCACGATATAACGATCACCATCGCCGAAGTCGTCGGCTCCAGCGTCATCGTCCCCTTATGCTGCTCACTCGCCAACGCCGTCGTCGCGACCATCCTCATTCTTCCATCGCTACTGCGATGATGGTCGTTTGTCAGCGACGCTGACTGGCGCAGCTGGGATCACACTCCGTCATCGCCATCGGCCTAGGAATCGTCGATTCCCCATCTCTGTGGCTGTCGTCGTGGCAGTTGACGCTGCCATCGCTGTTCTCTTTCCATTGCCACCGTCAGCGGCGTCAGGTAAGAACTGAATTTTACTGTTGCAGCGTTTTGTACATGAATGTCGAGCGGCCAGTAATAATGGATTGATTAACAAGAGAAGAGTTTAAGAGCGTGCGTTGACTGGGAGAAGAGGTGGTGGGGTGATTGGTGGTGATCTCGTCTTCCGCGCACGTGGGCGTGTGTCATCCGGTAAGGGGTATTGAAGGATGCCACGGAAGCATGGCGGCGGCGGGGGTTATGACGACGGGGACGATGACTATTGGTATGATGACTGCGATTACGATGATGATGATGATGGAGGAGGAGGAGGAGGAGGAGGAGGAGGAGGAGGAGGAGGAGGTGGAGGGGTACGAGGGAAAGCTATGACGGAGGGGTATCGGCCGTCTCAGCGGGGTGGGAGTAATGATGGCTCACGGCGAAAGCAGAGCTCATCCACGACGTCAGCGGCGGCTATGGGACGGGGATCAAGTGCAGAATCTGGACGTTTGCCTACCGCCACAAATGCACAGTCGAAGCCGGGGGGAAGTGTCACAAAGTCGGGGCCACGCAAAGCGGCAGAGCAGAAGCACCAGCAAGTTGGGGGCAGCGAAGAGGGGGAGGGATCAGTAAAGGAGGAGGAAGGCAGAGGTGCAGTGGGGGGAAAGCCGGTCGTAAAGGCGGCAACAGCGGGGGAGAAAGGAGGAGCTGCGGCGGCGGCCGCCGTGGCGGGAAAACCGACTGGAGGAAGCATACCGAAGAGTGGTATGGCGGCTACTATCGTTTCGGATTCTGCCGCAATGAGGCCAAACGCAGGGGCAGAACGGGAAGTTAACCAAAATGTAGGAGGGTTGAGACTCGAAGACGATGATGGATCAAACGCTTCGCCCGCGTTGCCGTCAACAACTGCTACGTTAGGTGGGGGAGGAGGGCTGGGAGGAGGAGGAGGAGGAGGAGGAGGAGGAGGTGCTGGCGGGCAGAGCACGAGAGTACGGTCATCTCTTCCTCTAGATTCGTATGTTCTGGAGGCGGGATTGGAAGGCACGTCAACGGGAAAGGACGGAAAGGAACTACTGCATTTGATTGTGATCGGACACGTGGACTCCGGGAAGTCTACCATCATGGGAAGGGTGCTTCATTTGCTGGGACAGGTGTCACGAAAAGAGATGCACAAGAATGAGCGGGAGGCGAAGCAACAAGGGAAGGGGTCTTTCGCATACGCCTGGGTTCTGGACGAGGGGGTAGAGGAACGATCACGCGGTGTGACGATGACTGTGGCCGTGGCGCATTTCGAGACTGCAAACCGGCAAATAGTATTGCTAGATGCCCCGGGGCACAAAGACTTCGTTCCAAACATGATTGCGGGCGCTTCTCAAGCCGACGCTGCTGTGCTAGTGGTGGATGCGACACCGGGAGCTTTCGAGGCAGGATTTGATGTGGCAGCAGGAGCAGCGGATGGTGGGTTGGGAGTAGCAGCAGCAGCAGCAGGAGGAGGAGGAGGAGGAGGAGGAGGAGGGGTTGGTGGTCAAACACGTGAACATGCACAGCTGGCAAGGAGCCTAGGCGTCGAGCAGTTAATCGTGGCGGTGAACAAGATGGACGTCGTTGGTTACGCGCAACAGCGATTCGATTCTATAAAGGCGACTCTGGGTCCGTTCTTAAGGCACTGTGGATTCAGGGACGGGGCCGTGAGATGGGTACCTGTGAGCGCCATCGACGGTCAGAATCTGAAAGATCCGCCTTCGGACGGAGATGCGGGGAGTTGGTACAAAGGTCCGACGTTTCTAGAGGCGATCAACGGCTTCGCGCCGCCAACGCGCCACGTGTCAAAGCCTTTGAGATTGCCGATTGCAGAAATAGTGAGAGGCAGTCGGTCTCTGGGAGCAGTCGCCGTGGCGGGGAAGGTTGAGGGAGGTGGAATGCGGGTCGGGACACGGGTGGTTGTTCTGCCGTCTGACTCTCCCGCTACTATCAAGGCGATGGAGAGAAATGGGCAGGCTGTCCACGTGGCAACCGCTGGTGAAAGCGTCGATGTCGGCTTGACAGGTGTCCATCCCGGAATGCTCATTACCGGCGGCGTGATTTGCCACCCTGATTACCCCGTCCCCGTTGTGCAAAGATTCGAGGCCCGCATCCTCGTGCTGGGAATCAAGAGACCCATTCTGAAGGGAGCGCAGGTGGTTCTCCATGCGCACACGGCTAAGGAATCGGCGACAATCACCCAGCTGATTAGCGTTCTCGATCCTCAGACGGGAGCCGTGGCGAAGCAAAGGCCGCGCTGCCTCACAGCGAACAAATCGGCCGTAGTCGAGGTTAGTGTAGAGAGAGGACTCTGCCTTGAGCTTTATACGGATTACAGACCGTTGGGAAGGGTCATCTTGCGTGAACGAGGAGTGACCCTGGCGGTTGGTATCGTGACACGGCTGGTCTCGTAACGTGACGATGAGTCAGATACCCGCTGACAATCTCCTGGTAGGAAGAGAGGAGGTCTCTTTTACGGTGGTTAATTTTTGCCGATTTTGGGAAGGAAGAGAGAGAGCGTCTTTGACCGTGGTTAGTAGTTGGTCTTTTTTCCCTGACAAATTGACAATCTGTTGGGAAAAAGAGATGATCTCTTTTACCCTCTTTGTTAATTGCTGACCTTCGTCCCAACTCGTTGGTCGTTGGGCGCGCGGATCTCTGGTCTAGCTTGCGCCTAGCAGCGAGAGAGATGGATGGTCGCACAGCCGCTCGTTTTTTCTCTTTTTTTTTTCTGGTCAAGGAGATCGGGTGACAGATAGTACTCCAATTCTCGTACACAAGCTGATGGGTTCGTAAGACCGGTTGAGTGCGAGATTGGGAGAGACGTGACTTACAACAATTGCTGTACTCCCCCCCCCGCCCTCTCGCTCGGATGTTCTCTCTTTTTCTCTCCCCCATCTCTCTCCCTTTCTCTGTGAATGGCTCGTTTTCTGGCTCTTTCACGGATATTCTCTCTTTTGGATCGAGAAAGGTTGAATAAACGGACTTCCACAAGAGAGATTGGTGAAAATAATCGTACTTAATACAAAACCAATCTCGATAAACGGAAACCTGAAAATGCTCTCTCTCTCTCTCTCTCTCTCTCTCTCTCTCTCTCGGCCCCCCTTTCCCTCCCTTCCCCGCCTCTCTCTCTGACGCCCACTCACAGAACATGGCTACCGTCTTCACATGAAGAGTAGACCCCGTCATTATAGCCAAATTTGGTGCAATTTTCAGTCCATATACAGCTGTAATGACCGGGCGTTCTATTCGGGTGAAGACGGTAGTTGTTGCCATCTCCTTGTTCCGATCGGGGAATAGGAGCGGTTCGCTTGACAACCTCTGTGAAGAATCGAGGCAGTTATTCAAGGGGCCCAACCGAAGAGGTCTACAAATATCGTCAAATCAGAAGTCCAGATCTTCTCCTACTCACTTAGACTGGCTAACCAGATCTTTTCCTTCTCCCTTAGGCTGTCTTTTTTTTTTTTTTTTTTTTTAACAGAAAGACTCTGCTCTAGGATGCGCATTTAAGTTGGAATGCCTCAGACCAAGTCCAGCAGCGAGCAGCCGCTGCTCAATCTGATTGGTGGTTGGTCGCGGTCCGTTTGCTGTACGCAGGAAGAAAATAAATAAATAAACAAAATTGCAAGACAAAAGAAGGAGGCCGGGAATCCCTCCTCGAACAACCCGGAGAAAAAGAAACTCTCTGGGACCATTACCCAGTGTAGGTGCAGGCGTTGGAATAATGTCCAGCAACAGAAATGGCCAATTCCAGACCGCTGTCCGGACGAGATCCAGCCCTAAAAAGAAACCTGAAAACAACAAAGAAAAGAAACCTGAAAACAACAAAAGACCGCCATAGGCCTGCAAAACCGCACAATCCAAAAGTGAAACTATCTCAGCCAAAACCACCAATTCAACTAACCACAGTCCTTCAGGCACCATACAATCCTAAACAAAAGTCGCCCGACACAAACCTACAAAACCCTTAGGCTGTCTTACGCCCACAACAACCTTCTTATTGCCTATTCCGTCTTTATATTTTGTTTTTTTGTGTCACCAAAGTAATTACGTAACGAGCCGCGTGTACAATTTGTCGACCACGTTAGGGAAACTTGTGGATAGTCCAGTCATCGACCCTGTTGGCGGTCTCAGCATTGGCAAATGGTTGACATGAGAATAAAGAAAGTGGCACTTATTTCCTTGGGAATGATTAAGGATCGTAATTAGATCCGTCGTAAGGAGCTACAGCTCTACAGTTGGTGTTTCGCTCTGAATGGTATCTGCAGAGGAATGATTGGTGCTCTCATTTTTGAGCTGGTTTCCATGGGCTTCGAGGGGTTTTAGGTACTACTGGAGATATCTTTGCCCTCTGTTTTTTTGTACGAAGCTCTGCGCATTTTGACAGGCCTTTGGTGGGTAGCACCTTTTACTGTGCTTCAAGTTAATTTTTTGGAAAGCCTGCTCAGTGGGGGACGCTGGACCCGGTTTCCAGCAATAGCGTTTCTGGGTAGTTTGTTGCCAGTCATATTCGAACATGGGACCTCAAGGTAAGCATATTGTTAGTTGATATTGGACACATAGGACTCCATAGGACCTAGACCTCTATTTTTTTCTGGTCCAGATCCCAGTAGGACCTTGGAGGCGCATACAAAAATGACATAACAAAAAGTGACGAACTATGAGTACAGTTCATTCAGTTTTTAATTCCTGACTTTTGTGGAGTGAAGGGAAAGAGCAGCAACGTCAATCTTGACAGCTGAAGGAGAGGGTTTAGGTGCAGCCATAGCCAGTCTATTTTGATAGTTTTGGTTTTATACTGCTCAGTACAACCTGACCCTCAAGTGGGCATCACTTCTTTTTATTTTCATCAACACTGAATCTCTTCTAGTTCTACAGGCTCTGGTTTGACCCCACCTGTTGCACTACATAGATATAACCAACAAGAATTCATCTTTGATTTCACATCCCCCATCAGAACAACAGAAACCAGTTGAAACACAGAAAAATAGTATTTGCAAACTCAAGAAAACTCAGGGAATTCTGTCATTCGGAACACCTTTTAAAATTGGAACAGTATAGAGAAGATTAGCTCCGCCCCTGCGCAAGAATGACACACATAAATCGAGAAATGGTCCAAATTTTTATATAAAAACAAGAAAACTTTGAAAACTTTGTAGTACAACTCTGTATAAAGTTGAAAATCTGCAGCTACTACAGGCTGCAATCACTGTCAAACTTTCTGCAATAATTTATATGTCTGCCTGTACAATATTAGGGATAGTTACCATCAATGTCTATTTATCAATCCTTTCTTCCTCTCTTCTTTGAGGTAGGTAGCAATTCTGACTCCATAGAGTTTGTTGGGTTGCCCTCGTTGGTTAGTAGCTCACCTTTTGTCAAAACCCAATTACCACTGCACCTTCTGCGCTTTATCGTCATTGTTACGGGTCTGCAAGTCTGCGTTTGTGACCCATTTTTTTCTTCAACCAATGACTCATTTTATGCGAAGTCCTCTATATTATTGCTACATATCATTGAAAAGCATTTGGCACAGACATGCATATATCTCATACAGGTAATTAACTCACCTGCAGCATCAGGTACCTGGATTGTTGGTCTAGTAGTGGTGAGTTATAACATGTGCTGCCTTGAGCCACCATTAATCCGGAATTGTATGAAAATGCATGTCATCCAATTTAAAACACGACACCTGGTGCCGTGTCCTGCCATCCTTATCATAATTGATGAAGATGCCATGCATGCTTTGTGTGATTCTGATCAAATCCTTGTTCCCGAGTTTGACCCACATAGACCACAAGTGTAATCCACCCGTTTTCACCACTGTTCTAACAACAACAGTGTTCAACAAGTTGACGTGTTCCTGTTTACCATACTCTTTGAGCAGCTCCCCTGACTCCATTACTCGCCTGACCGCAGCCAATCCTTTGCGTGGTGCACTCTATTTAAGCTGTGAGACAACGTTAGTGAATACATTGTATCGATCATCAAAAGGATAACCTCCTCCTATTCACCATACGCTTTTAAGTTTGTTCCACTGCGTTAATTGTTCCTCTTCTGACTGCAGTCTGCATGCATATTGTCCTCTTCAATCTCTTGTCGGATGTAGTTTTTCCCGTCAGTGGGGAGTTGGAGAAACATGACACTCTTGTTTCGTGCAGTATTGTCCTCCCTAACCTGTGTGCAAGGGACTGCTGACTTTGCTTTTGTACCACCAATTGCGCAGTGCAGGATACAATTTGTCGTGCTCTGTAAAATGGTTGTGCTCATCCATTATGGTCTTACCTTACACACCTTCCTCTTTCGATGTGTCTCATCCATTCTCTTTTTCTGCTGAGTCTTTGTGTCTCCTGTTAACCCTTTACTTTTTTTCAGGGGGGACCCTTTCAATAAAAGATCTTAGATTGTACAAAAAAAAAAAAAACACTGATTCTTGGGAAGAGAAATGTTATGATTGAAAGAATCAATGACAGACTTGACCCAACCTCTTTTCATGAGGTTGATCATGTTGTGGCCAGAGAACATTGAATCAGCGCGGTCACAATTTTCTTTTTTCCGACTGGGGGTGCCAAGCATTGCCAACCATTTTGGTCCACAAGCCATAAACCCCAAAACTTCTACCTTGCATACAGGCTCACTCATACTATTTTGCCTTGGGTGCGAAGTGGTGGTCTAAAGAGACGCAACAAATGTTTTTGATTGGTGTTGCTAGCGGTGTCGTTTCAGTCGGCTAAGCCCTAAAAAACACGATGTTCGCAAGATGTTTTTAACCATTATTGTCCCGGATAGTATTGGAATGATTAGGCAATTTATTATGAGTCTGACCTACCGACCAAAACCATGTGGGTCTACCAGTAGGAGTAGGGAGAGAAAATTGATTTTTTTCAACACCACCATTTTCTTTGCCATGAAAAAAAAATGTTATTTTTTGGGGGGGGGGAAGAAATGCTCATGATCTTTTTCTGATTGTTGATCGGTTACTATTATTACAAAAAGTCCTCAAAATTGGCGCATTCAACATATGCAACAAGTTGCAGACCTTCTATGGGCAAGCCTCATCAATCATTGTCGGATTGTCAAGACTAGACGCTTAAAAAAATACTTGCTCTTCCAATATTTAAGACCCTTTCGGGGGCCTCCAATCACAAGGTAGGATTGGTCCTATACTTAGCAAAGGTACTGGTTCTACAAGCAATATCTACAAGTTTTCCAACATGGCCTCAATGAACCAGTTGTTGCACAACTAAAACCCATTTTTAACCCCGTTTCTAGATGGTTAACCATCATAAAAATTTGGGCAAACTTGACATAGGGGTGAGACCCAACTCGACCGTAACCTACAGGTTGACCATTGGTGAAATGATAAGGTACAGCCGATTAACTTATACCAAATTCAGTTTATCATCACGTTAAACCTCGACTCCCACGTACGTCGAAAAGTCAGTTTCTGAGACTTCCGGAAGCCCGTAGGTCTGAAGGAAGTGGAGGTTGGCAGCAATAAAAAGAAAAAGTGCAAACTTTGGCGATGTTTCTCGCTTAGAATAATGCATAGAAAAACTTGAAAATTTAAAATCTTGTAGGTTACTTTCTGATCTTTCCAGGAAAAATAATAGAAAAATGGAGAAAAACTTATCTGTTAAATAAATTTTAATCCTAATTCGGTGAATTTTTCATCTTCCCACTGCCCTGTAGCAATAAAAATATACAACTTCATTGATTTCGTGGTCATAAAAATGCGTTAAAAAAATCTGAAAATTGGAGGGCCCATAGATTTCGTCATAATATTTTTAGGGAAAATATTCAAAAGAAATATATATATTTCGAATCACTGCAGCAATTTGATGCATTTTTCATCTTACAACTCTACCGATTCTCCACGCTATGTTAACGGTGGCCCTCATAAACCTGTGCTAGTGGTCCACCCGAGTCTCCAGAGGCCGCAAAAAAACTCAGAGGACAGGTAGCACAATTTCGTTAAACAGCGTTCACTACATCTTGTTCATACGTGGTGTTTGTGTATGCACGTGAAAGAGAGAGAACCCACAAACAAAAAGTTGTACACAAACACTCAATAGCTCATCATTAAGCAAGGAAGAAATTTAAATACTATTGAGCAGTTGAGATGTGGAGAGATGCAAGGTGGACGCAAGCATAGCCCACAACCACCAACACCATAACATCTCATGTCTTCGTCTCTGTAACAATGCAGCAACATGCATGAATATCAAACTCTTTGTCGACATTCAAATGACGTTTTTGGCAAGGTGGGGGCAAGCATATCCTTTAACCACCACCACCATAATATCTCATGTCTTCTCCCCTTGGTGACATGCATGAATATGGAACCCTTTGCCGACATTCAAATGCCATTCATAGATGCTTAACAAAAGAGAAAAAAAAAAAAAAAACATAAAATATTTTATCATATCTTCTTTCCTTAGCGAAATGCATGAATGCCAAATATCTTGTTGACATTCGAATGTCATTAGTGGATGCTTCATAAATGAAAGAACTAAAAAAGCAGTTTAAAACACACAAAAGGTGGCACAATCATGTGTATTTTACTATTTTGTGACTTCACTAAGTGTACCTACACCCATCATATCCATTTAGCCATAAAAACTTAATGATAGACTATATAGTTGAGGGGGGGGAGGGGTATATCTCTTTCCTCTGCTCCTGCAATATTTTCTCACATCGTTCCTCTTTAGCAAGGGGATTGACATGTGATGTACCAAATTACGCGTATGAACGAGCTTCTGAGCCCCCTTCCTTTTTTGTAGTGCTTTCTGGATGATCAGGGTTGATCTAATCCAGTTTCAGTTCCTCATACACAGTCCAAATTTCATTTTCCAGCGGATGGTAATGTCGGGTTCGGGTCGTATCGATTGTGGTTTTGGCTCTCACTGTTCGTAGGACTTATCCTTGATGAGCCTCGATGCACTGGACACGATGGTCAATCTTGACCTTTCAATTTTACAGTTTTTAGAATTTTCCTTGTATTTTATTGTACTTTTTTTAGGATTTACGCGCGCCTTAATGAACGTACTGAAAATTCTTTTTCCTTTGGGTCTATTGAGTTCCGCGGATGCCTAGTGAGATACTTTACAGCGAATTCTTTATTTGACCATGTACATTTTAGAGATGTCCCTGTACGCCCTATGAAATTTTTGTTAATGGATGATAGGATAGAAATCGATGTAGGAATTTACACCCCTTAAAACTTGCATACATAATTTTATTTCAAACTTTTTAATTTCAATTCAACTTTAGGCACATCTCCACTAATATTTCTCATAAATGTTTTGGTACCTTTTTTGTTTTGCGCGCATGCATCCTTCCTTGCCACGCTTCTGCGTGTAATCTTTTCTCGCTTCCCCAACCCTCT